CTGTCAGATGAAGGTTGCATCTTGGATTTTATGTTATTTTGTATTAATTAACATTAATTATTCCTTAAATGTTATCTGTGTGTAGGTGTGCTGTTTGTATATGTGAAAGAGAAGAGAAGTGATTACAAGAGAGAGAGGGAGAGTTTTTTATAAAGGTTTGATTATTGCTAACTATTAATGGAAGCTACAATTTTTAAGAGTTCATTTAGTAATAATTGTTCCTTCTGTGTTTGTTATGTGGTAACATGTAATATTTCTTTTCATGCTCATAAACACACAATCAGAGGATTACTATTATTGCTGTTACATCACATTAAGGCACAGAAAATCTAAAAACAACCAAACAAAAGAATAAAACTTGCCTAAGTTCATAAAATATCATGGACTGAGAATTTAAACAAGATGATAGAAACAGAACTCTTCTACTGGAATATTTAATATTTATTTTCATTCCTAGTCTTGGGGAAAAATCTACCTTTACTGGTAAGTTAATTTGAAATACAGAGTTTTACACTATAAGGAATTTGAATGTATGTTTTTGCTTTTAGATGGTAAAGAAAAGTGCTTCTACGATTCCCCAAATTCTGCAGACCACATACCCCCTAAGATCAGACCTAACCCTTCTTCCACTTTCCCCACCAGTTCACCACTGCTGTTAGTTGGCTAACTACCATTCAGTTTTCCTTGTATTCCACTTTTGTAAAATACCAACACCACCATATTTTATAGCCATTTTTTTGTGTGTGTGCCAAATCATCTGTGGTACTGTGCAATCACATCTGACTTTCTAAATAAAAATTTGTCTCTCGCAAAGCTTTGCTAAATGCATAAGGTTGAGTAGCACAGGCAGCCGCAGGCATAGTCTGTTAATTCAGATATGAGTATGATCTGTTGACATGTTTGCAGGTTCTTTTTGGGCTACAGAATCTGTATTCATCCCTGTATTTTCTCTGTCATCTATGATGGTGTCTAAAACATTTTTCATGTCTGTGTCAAACTTCAAAAATCCAATTTCTTCTTCTTTAGGAAATTTGTTTCTTTTCAAAAGTTAATGCTTTTATAAAGTGCCATGGTTTGGGTAGTTTGCAAATATATCTGTGATCTCTTTTTCCTGCTCACGGGATGCCTTTGGATGGCACACATTCAAAAGCAGTTCACAGTGACCTTTCAATCATTCCAGACAAACACGCAAACACAATTCCTCTTCCTCTAGGAGCTTTGAGAAGCATCTCCAAAACTGAAAACACAACACACTTCAGAGCATATATATAACAAGGAGGGACAATATTTTATCGAGTTGCTTTCCGGCAGAGTATGAATTTCTTTTTCTTTTTCTTGAATGCAGGGTAGGGTAAAAGTAGATTTACTGTAGTTTGTACGTGAAACACAGAGTTTATTCTTGCATTACTATTGATTAATGGTTGTATTATTTCCCCTGTGAACAACTGTAAACCTCCCCTTTTGCCACACCCTGTAAATGAGAACAATTTTTAGCTTTAGACAAAGCAAAGCAACCAGTTTATGATTTTAGTGGACTTCTATATTTAAAAATTAGTTTAAAATTAAACTTATGTTTATGTCAGAAAGGGTCCACAAAAATTGTAAAGAGAAAAGATTGTCAGGAAGACCTGAGCCATCACAGGTCACTGACCCCTGCAGAGTGAGTGGCAGTGTGCACAGCTCACCTCACACTGAGGGAGCACAGCCCCACCGTGCACTGTGTTCACTTAGCTGCTAGTCACAATGCAACTGATGTACAACTTTGTTAGTCTTGAGTTATCATTTATTACTTTTACGAAAGTTGTATAAGTGCCGCACACACTTACTGTATATAAATCAGGAATTTTTTAATTAAAGGAAACAAAACAACTTTCCACTCTGGTCTGATTGCATCCTTTATTTCTCAAAGACTCACAAAGATATTTCTTTAAGGTGGTAGGTAGTTTGACTTTTGTGACATGAATGATAAATTGGTAGATAAATAATTTTGGCCAATTTATTAATACACAATCTATTGAGTAGTAAGCTGAACAATAACACAGTGCTATTGAGTTAGCCTTAAAAATAATTTAAAGGAAACTCTGCTTTATGCACAGCATATTGAGAGCCACTTTAATTCAGTGTTGATCATATGTACTTTCTAAGGTTCAGTTTATCTCTGCATGTCTGTGTATGCTTAAATCCAAAAGGTCCTTTCAAATTGAACATTGAATCTCTTGATACATTTAAACAGAGTGAATGGGTGCTTACTTATCCTTTTTAACCTGCAGGGCCATGGGACACAGTTAAAAGATTTGAAGACCAATAAAAGCAAAGTGTTCCTCACATCTCCAATACAACAAGACAGGTTGTCTGCTTTGTCAATCAACAAGCCCCTGCAGACATGCACACACAAACGGACTGAAGAGAAAGGGGAACTCTGCAGTGAATTGCCAAATGGTAAATATAAAAGAAACAATATAATTAGGGAATCTCCACCTGACTACCAGCACAGTAATGACAGATTTATCTAAGAACATCACTGCCTGTTACCTAGTGGCTGAAAGTCTGAGGAGCAACATGGTATTCCCAGAGCACAGTCTCTTTCCCACCCTCACCTAAAAATACACAGTAATGCTTAATTCTCATTCAGTAATAAGTAGAAAATACTTGTTAATTACAAGAATGGTGCTGAGACCTGGCAGATTTCAAAGCCAAATGAGAATGACATAAATATATGTTATGTCTCCCTTGATGTGATAGAGAAAAGACAGCATCATTCCTGGGGCAACCATGCCTGAAATACATAAATGATATTAATTCTTAATGAAATAATAACAAATGGAAACAACACCATTTTCAACAAAATCTCAGCTGGAAGCTTTTGGGAAATGTTGGTGTTGGGAAACAAAAACAGACTCAGGTCCAGAGACCTGGCACCTAAAGGCAGGACACCCTTCTGGACTGGGCCCAGGACAGTGGAGGAAGGGTAAGATGGGCATTTCTTTTCTCTCTCTGTCTCTCTCTCTCTGTCTCTCTCTCACCCCTCACTTTATTCCCTCATCTGAAAGGCTGTTTCTTTTCATGTATTTCCTGCCATAAAGATATTTGAGCAATGGGCAAAATTGGAACAAGTGTTTTTTGGGGGGGTTAGATTGCAATATTGTTCCAAAAAACATTGAACATTGGAAAACTCTTCTAAGGCAGAATGAGTCCCAAAGAGGTGTTATGGAGCCTTAGAGCTGGGGATGGAGGTGGTATTCTTTATCATGTAAAACAAAGGATTTTAGAGATGAAGTTATCAACTCTGCAAATTTTTTTCTGCCTAAATATATTCCAAATGAGATTATCTAATTTCAAACAACTTTAACTGTAATTATTGATAATTTTTTAGCCATTAGTTAATGCCTCAACTTTTCTTTAATTAGGCTGAGACTCTGGAGTTATGCAGTCTTGATCTGATGTACTTTGATTGTTAGCATTCTCCTTTCTCCAGAGAAAACTTACCTTCCAAATGAGATGAATGGGTGATAGTGCATTACCTTGGTGGACACATCTGTTTATTTTCACTGTGGCAGTGAGGTTTATCTTGTTGCCTCTTCTTGTCTGTCCTGGTCACTACCCAGTGACAACCATGAATAGGTCCCATCAAATTGTAATTGAACAAAGTGTAATTCTGGAGGTTAAAACAAGAGTTTTTGGAATAATATTGTGTCTTAGAAATGATATTTAACCTTGAAGGGAACAACAACTTTCTATCACACATCCATTGTGCCATTGAAAAGCTGTCTCAAGATTTTCATGGGATAGAATTACAGTCTGTGTTCCATGTTCACTGAGGCTGATGGAATCTCTCTCTCCTCTCTTCCTGAGATAAGTCAATGTAAGCTAAACTTAGTTTAATAGATTTTTTTCCATAAGACTTCTCATGGTATAATTTTACTAGGTAGATTGTGTGTCTCTAAATGATTGGATAGGATATAAAGATTTCTTCTTATTATTTGATGAATGTATACTTGTGGATTTTCCTTAATAATCCTTATTAACAATATAAATGAAACTAGTGTTTTCTTAGGAAAATAATTTGTAAAATATTGTTCTGGAGAAAGGTGCATGCGATATAACTGTATTTGAAAATAAATTTGCAAAACATCCAGGAAGCTTTCTATAACTCTACTGGATCTCAAAAGAAGAGTCAAGCATTTCTTTCTTTCTTCCCTTGGTATAGCTCTGTAAGAGTATATCATGATTTCAGAACATTTATTTACATTAATACCACTATAAGTAGTAACATTAATCTCCTTGTTACTTATTTTTGAATCTCCAGGACACTACAGTGGATACTACCTAGTAGATTGCAATTACATGTGATGCACATAAGATCAGTACACAAGGAACATGCATAATGTATGAATACATATGATCATGAATAAGCGCTTCACCCTTTTAACTTGGTTTTGATGATGACTGTGATTAGTGTGTACCTCTTCAGTTTAAGTGAGTATAAATATGAGATTAGATTAAAAATATTTTTTATCTGGCAGTTGGAGCTGATGGGTTATTTGATTAATTGGCTTTTCCTTTAATCGTGAAGAATATATATAATACAAAAGAGATGGTATGAAAATTTATTTTTGACTTATAGTCAAAAGAGAAGTATACCTCCCAAAAAATATCTAAAAAATGTGAAACTACCAAAACATGCCAGCATTGGAAAGGAGAGATGTCTAAAAAGTAGTCTTGGAATCTGGCTAATCACAATATTTAATACTAGCATGTTTTAATCACAATACTTAGTGTAAATGCTATATAGTAGAGCCCATGTCTTTATTCACCTTAGTGACCACCAGAGATCTGCTGAAAATAATGCAAAAAGCAGTCATAGGCATGTACAAGGAAAACAATGAAAGTGGGCCTCGATAAAAGTATAAATTAATAAATAATTAAAATTTGATTTTTAAACTTATTTTACTTTTGTTATCACAGAGATTTGTAACTAACATTGACCTAGAACTAGGAAAATGCTCAACTTCACTGATGTGACAGAGTTTATTCTTTTGGGACTGACCAGTCGTCGGGAATGGCAAATTCTCTTCTTCGTCATTTTTCTTGTGGTCTACATTATCAGCTTAGTGGGCAATATTGGCATGATTATGTTAATTAAGGTCAGTCCACAGCTCAGTAGCCCCATGTACTTTTTTCTCAGTCATTTGTCATTTGTGGATGTGTGCTTTTCTTCCAATGTTACCCCTAAAATGTTGGAAAACTTGTTATCAGAGACAAAAACTATTTCTTACAATGGCTGTTTGGTACAGTGTTTCTTCTTCATTGCCCTTGTCCATGTAGAACTTTTTATCCTTGCTGTGATGGCCTTTGATAGATACATGGCAATCGGGAAGCCTCTGCTCTATGGCAGCAGAATGTCCAGGGTTGTCTGTGTTCGACTGATCTCTTTCCCTTACACATATGGTTTTCTGACTAGTCTGGCAGCAACATTATGGACTTATGGCTTATACTTCTGTGGGAAAATTGAGATCAACCACTTCTACTGTGCAGACCCACCTCTCATCAAAATGGCCTGTGCTGGGACCTTTGTCAAAGAGTACACCATGATCATACTTGGAGGCATTAATGGCACGTACTCTCTGACTGTAGTTGTCACTTCTTATCTGTTCATTCTCATCGCCATTTTACGGATGCACTCAGCAGAAGGGAGGCGGAAGGCCTTCTCCACCTGTGCATCCCACTTGACAGCTGTCATCATATTTTATGGGACTCTCATCTTCATGTACCTCAGACGCCCCACAGAGGAGTCTGTGGAGCAGGGGAAAATGGTGGCTGTGTTTTACACGACAGTGATCCCCATGCTGAACCCCATGATCTACAGTCTGAGGAACAAGGATGTGAAAGGGGCCGTGAACAAAGTGATGAGCAGAATATGTGTAACAAATTAAAATAAAATTGAGTGAATTGTGTCTTCTATGTTATATTTGTCAGCAGATTGTGGCTTAGTACATAGCTAAAGACCTTTTATAAAAGCTAGAGACTGTACATTGAAAAGAAAAAAAGACTCATATTACAAGAGAAATAGTAGATGACCCATTTCTGTTGATGTAAGAAGTGAGGATAACTAAAACTTCATAAATTAACTAATGAAAGTTTGAGTCAAAGTTCACTAGCACACTAATAGAAATTGTTCAAATTCTTAGTTAAAATGAACAGGTTTTGTTTATCTTATTAAAATGCCTTAGATGAATTTGGGAAATATCAATGTGCTTACTGAGAGAGTAAATCAGGAAAAAAATATAGTATCTTTTATTTAAATTTTTAGAATGAGGGCATACAATAGTCCCCCTAAAGGTTGTGAGATTCTGTGATGGTTAGTGCTTTTTTGAATATGAAGTGCAGGTGTGTTTAGTGACAACTACTTTGAAAATAACAATCTTATGGTATTTAATTCCTATTCAACTTTTTGGGTTTTAAGAGACACAACATGATGTCTCTCTTTTACAGATTCTAATGACTTCCATAATTCATCCCCAAAGTTGCCAACCACACTGTGCACGTGTCATGTGCCCCTACCAAGGGTGTCCTGTCTGAATGAAGTGTGGGTGTGACTGTTGGATGGATGGGCCATTTTGAAAGCACTGCTCTCCAGATTCCACTTAACACATTAAAATGATGTGCATATGGAATATTATGCACATCTGTGTCAATACATTATTTAAGTATTTTAAAATAATTTTTGTATTTGAAAGAAATAAAACATTTAGGATGTTCTCTTTCTTATTACTGATAACCTGTCCTGCCAGGATAATGTTAACATGGTTGGGTTCTCTATTTTACCTCATTTCATGAAGTACCAGCACGAAGCAACAACTTGACAACTGGGACTTCCTTAAAGGCTCTTTGTCCTCAGTAGCTGCACAAATAACCTGATGTTTTGATGCAGACATGTGTAGCTACAGAAATGTAGTTCACAGATTTAGACTACACATTTAAGTAACTACAAATTTATCTGCACAGATAAAAATATGAAATTATATGGTTGCAAGATGAGGAAAAATATTTTTCACTGTCTGTTTCTGTTCTTATTTTCCCCAAGGGAAACCCAAAATGCACATGAACTCATTTCCACATACACACATATATATCATGGGCAACTCTTTAAAACTATTCACATTAAACAAATCTTTATTTTAGATTTAATTGTAGTATTACTGTGTCTCTGGTTATAAACATGAAATCCAGAAAAATTTAAGATCTAACTTCTGTAATATTACTTTTGGAATGTGTTACAAGTAATTTTTTTTAAATTAAATCCATTTATTATAGAATTCTTTATAAGTCATGTTATAATGTACTTCACAATATAATTTTAAAGCATTTTAATATTCATAATCTGTTAGAAGGTAAATTTGGATAACCTTTGTTGCTTCTGTTTTTCAAAGGCTAAATGCTTTCTCAACTGACTTTTTGAGAGAATTACTTTAATGTTACATGAAGAATGATGGCACCCAAGATCAATATTGAGTGTCATGTTCCAAATTTTAAATTAATTTGTGTGTGGTGGACAGTGTGGGGGGTGGGGACAGCACAAAAGAAGGTGAAGGGATGAGCCAAAGAACCTATCCTCACACACAGACACAGTGTGGTGATTGCCTGAGGGAAGGGGGTGGCAGAGGCTGCATGGAAGGGGGCAAAGGGGAGGAAAATGGGGACATCTATAGTAGTGTCAACAAGAAAAATCAAGTTTAAAAAAGAGAAGGAGAAAGCTAAAATAATTAGGTCACTGAAAATTTGGAAAGTTAATTTGTGAGTGACTTTGGAGTATTCAATTTCTGTTATTCATCTAGTTAATTTTTAGGTTGCAGGCTATTATGTCCAATATCTCTTCTGGTTCAAAATTTCCATGAGCTGGAAGAACTTAAAATGAAATTTTGACATTAGCTGAAAATTCAGGATATTTCTGTAAAACACATTTTAAGAGAGATTTTATTGTTACAGTAATTCCTACATTTATCAACTTTGTTATATTTAAACATCTCCCCTTGTCACTCTTTCATGCTCTTTCTGTCTCTAACACACACACACTTTCTTCTTTTCAAAGCTACATTTTCTTGAAAGGGTACATAATATATCATAATAGACTGGTGTGAAAAAGTTCATTGGACGCATTTTCTCCATAGTAAATTAGGAAGAACTCAGGAATTCTGGGTACTTGGGAACTGAGGAATTCAGGAGAAAACTGCTTGAGCACAACTATGTCTATAATTTTTCAGGTTACATTGAGGTAGTATACAGTTTAGAGTTTATGAGCAAGTCAAGGTTGCATTCTGGGTCTTTAGCTTGCTAACTATGTAAACCTGGTAGAAACACTTAATCTCATAGTTACTTCCCATATGCATATTTTCATTTTCAACATTTGGATAATATTAGAAGACTTGCTGTAGTTAAGGACCTAAAGGCAGCCTGAATTGCCTGGGTAAGACTGTTCTGATAACAGCTGAGGTACCTTACACCTCAGCTGATAAAAATATCTTAATATGTTTGTGATCATGTGTTAATTGAACTCTGCTCAACACAAAAGTTATCGAGGTTTATCAAAGGCAAGGTACTGTAGGTTTTTAATATGATTAAACACATACCCAGTGCCTATCAAGGATAATTTTTATTAATGGAGAAACATTCTCAATTATTTTACCATAACACTTATGAGAAACAACTGAAGTATTTTTTTAAAAAAATGTTTTGTGAATACAGTTAGTATGTCTACTTTATTAATTAAATATGTTAAGAACACTTAACCACTAAAAAGTTCAACAATTATATTTATACAAAATACGTCATGGCCTAGGAAAACAGGATGAATCATGTGCATACTTTTGCTTTCTTCAGTTACTTTCATTTGTCCCTGGACTTTTCTAAGAACAAACAAAACAAAACAAAACAAAACAAAACAATATAAAACAAGCAAAAGAAAAAGGGGGCTAGATATACCCCATTGTTTCCCAAATGAATCAATGATCCCTACAAGGACACTATGTGGTAGAATATGTTCTTGCTGCTTTGATGGCCAAGTAACATGAATGAGTAACTTTCTTTAAAATGAAGCCCTTCCTGCTGGATAATGAAGGCAGCAAAAAAAGAAGGGTGTCCAGAAATGCATGGCTTCTTTCAAGCAGTAGTCAAAGCCACTACCGAGAGAGCAGAAGAAAATACAAAAGAGATGCTTATGCCATTCTTAACTTCCACGTGAAGCTTCCCTGAGCTGTCTTCAGGGAACTTTCAATTAGCAGAATTGATTGCTTAATCCTGTTGTTTTCAAGATGCCATAGGGAAAGGGAAATAACCTTATAAACAAATACAACTACTGATTTTCCTCACTTATTATACTTGAAGGCTCACTGATTTTTCCCACCACTTTATAGGTAAGATTGTCTGTTTTGTGTGAAGGATTAGCGATGGTGTTATTATTTATACTTGGAATTAATTTCTTATTTGATAAGAACAAGTGTATGGATAGAATAAAGAACTGCATAGCAATAATTAGGGTTGATTACAAGGGAAATGTTAGTACTCATAATTCCAGAATTTTTATTTCTTCTAAATATTTAACAAAGGAGTAGTAGAAACAAAAAATTTCTTGTGATGATGGCCTTATATGCATCACACATGGTTAGAGATAGTTACATACATTACAGCTTTCAAAATCCTTAGAGGAAACCGTTGTTATGTTTTCCAAATGAGAATACAGAAGCTCATAAAGGTTACATTTTCTCCAATTGTAAAGTTAATGGGCAGCATGGTCATAATTTTTTAAGTCAAATCTGCTTAGTTCCATAACCTATGGTTGATACTGTGAGACGAATTCCAGTATTCAGGTTACCAGAAGCATTTTAGCACAAAATACTTTTTTGAAATTTTGGAAAGCACAAATATACCTTGGTAGAGCATCATTAAGGAAGGCAGGATCTCAGACTAGGGCGTGAACACATACACAGGTACGATATATTTCAGTGTTCTCTGGTAGGAGAGGAGAAGATAGTGGGACACCCTACTATCCACAAGAAAATATATGCACACACAGTGAAGAAAGGGTTAGATGCTCAGAATTATATGTAGAGAGAAGAATAGGGAGTTCTTGAAGTCATTTCAGAAAGAAGAGTAGAGGTAAGAAAAAGGATGGGTGAGAAATAAAAAAAAGAACAAAAACAAAGATGTTATGAATCTGGGGATTAAGTACTATAAATCAGCCTGTGAAAAGAGTCCTCTGTGGCCCTGGCTGGTGTGGCTCAGTGGATTGAGTGGCTCAGTGGCTCACTGGAATGTGAACCAAAGGGAATCTCAGGCTAGGGCACAGGCCTGGGTTGCAGGCCAGGTCCCCAGTAGGGGGTGAGGGAGAGGCAACCTCACATTGATGTTTTGCTCCCTTTCTTTTTCCTTCCCTTCCCCTCTCTGAAAACACATAAACAAAATCTTTAAACAATTTTTTTAAATCCTCTGTGGTTAGGATACAGGAGCGGAATTTAGAAAATACATATGCCCAATATTTCAGTGTAATTGTTTTATTCTTTAATAACAAACATTATCTTCCAGCTACATTCCATAGAATTGCAATGTGTGTGTGTATGTATTTGTGATTTTGGATTCCTAAATGGCATGGAATAAATGAATAGGAAGTTTAAGACAATTTTAAAATGTCTCAAGAGGTGGAAGTTGGGATTACCTAGGTGTTATCATAACAATTTTTAAGTCACAGCATGGACCTTGGGCATAACCTATGAGGGATTAATTATATTCAAAAGAACAATTATTTCTTCAAAAGAACAATTATTGCCTCATATAATTATATCTTATGTAGCAATCAGCCTTATAGTATCTTGAGTACTGATCCTAGAGGTTTGTTATTACTTGAATAATAACTTTAATTCATGCAACAGTAAAATAAAATACTAGTTAAATAATTTAGAGTTCAATTCTCATCTACATGCAACTCTGAGGGGATATGTCATTTCAGTGCTGCCACAATTTTAGGAGTTTCAAGTTATTAACTCACTTTTCTGCCATCTCCTCCATGGATCCCGGGTGACTCAGCACTGTACCCATATCATAGCCGTAGGAAGCAGAACAGGGGAGAGGAGGCCAAGCCTTTGGTATAAAGGGTTGGAAAACACTGTGCCTGTTGTACAAAATCATTCTTTCATCACCTTCTCTTGGATGGAATATACTCTTTTGCTGTAGTAAATGTAGTCTGAAGGTAAGCAAAGAAAAAGGCCATTTTTGGTTATTTTGTTTTGTTGTACTACGGTTTTGCCTTTTTTTTAAAAAAAAAGTATTGTTTTAAAGAGTCTAGCTTTGTAATCAAGACACAAGCACTTGTGTGGGTGCAGGGGAGGCTCAGGTCCAGGCCCCTCACTTCCCAGTGGCTGGTGCGAGCACTGTGCTCTTTAATGTTTTCACAAGTATAGATGAATACTCTGGACAAAGTCATTACTGAGGTCTAATTCAGGCCTGATGGGCTGAACAATTAGCTTCTCCAAGGTTTATTGAATTATTGGGAAAATGTTAGAAGAATGTCTGAAAGTTGCCCTGTACTTTATATTGGTTCCTATTCATGGTAACAGATTTACAATTATTCATTCTTTTTAAAGGTTTCTCTTTTTTTCAGTGTCTACCTCCCAGTGGCATTGAGTCAGTCTAAAATAGGAAGTACAGAGTTTTCATTTTCCACAAAGAATCAAGTCAAAGTGTCATTTAGTGCTCTCTGACAGAAAACCTAAGAGATTTTGTCTGGTAAGACCTGAAAGAATCAGTAGCAGGAAAAGGACTTCTGGTACAAGGTTTTCAATTTCTAATTAAGTTTTTTATTAAGTTGTGTGGTAAATTTATTTAGATTAGTAGTATTTCTGTGTTTATTGTCTCTGAGTGGCAAAATCTAGAAAAAAATTTAATGTAGGCTGAAGTAAAAAGCTGAAAATAGGCAAAGTAAGAAAAGATGCAGGTAAGAATGTAGTGACAGGCACCACAAAGATACATAAACACAGAGAAAAAAGAGATCAATTAGCAAAAATAAAAATAAAAATTGAAGCTACCTATTGACTGAGACCCAGAGCTACTTCGAATGGGTTTGGTAACGTTTGACTAGATTCTGTTTTAACTAAAGTAATTCTAGTGTCTCCTGGGGAAAAATAATCATAGAAAAGAAAGGAAAAATGCAGAGAAAAGGACACCCTTTAGGAAATATGAGTTTCTTTCCATAGAAAAAATTATGAACTAATCTAAAGTTCTCACTTCCCTTTGAAGAAAACTGTGAGAAGAAACCTCACCTCGGTGACTGAGTTCATTCTCCTAGGACTGACTGACCGCCAGGAACTGCAGATTCTCCTCCTCCTGCTGTTTCTGGCCATTTATGTGGCCACAGTGGCAGGAAACCTGGGTATGATTGTCCTCATCCAGGCCAATGCCCGGCTCCACACGCCCATGTACTTTTTTCTGAGCCACTTGTCCTTTGTGGACCTGTGCTTCTCCTCCAATGTGACTCCGAAGATGCTGGAGATTTTCTTGTCGAGAGGAAAATTATTTCCTATCCTGCTTGTCTGCTGCAGTGTTACCTTTTTATAGCCTTGGTCCATGTGGAGGTCTAGATCCTGGCTGTGATGGCCTTTGACAGGTATATGGTCATCTGCAACCCTCTGCTTTATGGCATCAAAATGTCCAAGAACATGTGCACATCCCTCATCATGGTGCCTTATGTGCATGGAGCGCTCATTGGGCTGATGAAGGCCATGTGGACCTATGGCCTTGTCTTCTGTGGCTCCAATGAAATCAATCACTTCTACTGTGCTGACCCACCCCTGATTAAGCTGGCTTGCTCTGACACCACCAACAAAGAAACTTCAGTGGTTGTTGTGGCTGGATGTAACCTTTCCTTTTCACTCCTTATCATCCTGGTTTCTTACCTTTATATTTTTGCTGCTATCCTGAGGATTCATTTCACAGAATGCAGGTGCCAAGCTTTCTCTACCTGTGTCTCCCACCTGACAGCTGTTACTATATTCTATACAACACTATTCTTCATGTATCTTAGACCCCCTTCGAAAGAATCTGTGGAACAGGGGAAAAGGGTGGCATATTTTATACCACAGTAATTCCCATGTTGAACCCCATGATTTATAGCCTTAGAAACAAAGATGTGAAAGAAGCATTAACCAAAGAGCTGTTAAGGAAAAATATGTTTCCCTAGAAGACATCACTGTTCTTTTGGTCCCAAAGCCTTTTCAAGACCTCTTCTCTAAATTACAGGACAAAATTTATGGTAGAATGAGAAATTTGGTACACCAGTGGGAAACACTGTAATTGTTTATTTATATGTTATTTTTATTGACCTATTTGAGTGACATTGGTTAACAAAATTATATGAGTTCCAGGGATACAATTCTACATCCCATGTATATTGTACAATAGTATGTGATCACCACCCCACATCAAGTCTCCTTCCATCACCATTTATCCCCCCTTATCCTCTTCTACCTCTCCCTGTCCCTTTAATCTCCTCTAATCACCACACTGTTGACAGTGCCCATGAGGCTTAATCCCTTCACATTTTTCACCCAGCCCCCATTTCATTTCCCCTTGATAACTGTCAGTCTGTTTGCTGTATCTATGAGTCTGTTTCTATTTTGCTTGTTAGTTTATTTTGTTCATTAGATTTCACATATAAGTGGGGCCATATAGAACTAAAAAGGTTTTGCACAGCAAAGGAAATCATCAACAAAAAGAAAGGACAGCTCACTAAAGGGAGGAAATATTTGTCAATATATCTGATAAGGGCTTAATATCTAAAATGTATCAGAAACTTATGCAACTCAACACCAAAAAAACAAACAACCCAATTAAGAAATGAGCAAAGTGCCTACATAGACATTTCTTCAAAGAGCACATACAGAGGAACAATAGACATATGAAAAGATGCTCAATGTCACTAATTATCAGAGAAATGCAAATTCAAGCCACAATGAGATGTCCCCTTATACCTGTCAGAATGGCTATTGTCAGTAAGTCAAGAAACAAGTGTTGGCGAGGATGTGGAGAAAAAGAAACCCTCGTACACTGTGGGTGGGAATGCAGAGGGATGCAGCCACTGTGCAGAACAGGAGTTAACTCAAAACACTGAAAATAAAACTTTTTTATGACCCAGCAATTCCATTTCCAGGAATATATCCAAAGAAGCCTAAAACACCAATCCAAAAAAATGTATGCAGCCCTGTGCCCACTGCAGTGCTATTTATAGTGGCCAAGATTTGAAGCATCCTAAGAGCCCATCTGCAAATGAATGGATGAAAAAAGCAGTGGTCCATTTATACAATGGAATATTACTTGGCTGTAAAAAATACCTTTTGAGACAGCATGGATAGACCTGGAGAATATTATGTTAAGTGAAATAAACCAGTCAGAGTAAGACAAGTACCATATGACTTCACTTATGTGTGGAATCTCATGAACACTGCATTTTTAAAACTTTAAAGACTTTTCTAAATCCAAACCCAAAAAGTAAAATTTTTATTACAAAAGTTTACAATTTGTACCTTTATTCATTTTGCTCACCAGTTGTTTTAATTTTGTTGCCCTTTGTGCACATGATAGCATTTATACTTATCTTTTGGGTTTAGGTGGAAGTGTGTGGTTATTTGTGAACAATGAGCTTGATTAGAATTCATATGTGTCTCTTCTCAGTTGAGGAAAACATTGTTGGGGAAAGAAACCTTCAGTGGGTGTTTTGCTCTTTCCATGGTGAGAAGCAAGATTTAAGATTGAAGGCTTAAGTACAGCTTCTTGAATGAGAAGATGTTGAATAGAATCCCCTGTCAACTCACAAAAGAAATGTAGAATTTTGTGTGATTCTTCTTCCTTTCCATCCAGGTCAAGATTCATACCACCTGTTAAAATAGTCACTTCCCACCACTTATTGCTGAAATAAAAAAAAACACACACACAAAAAATGAAACAAAACAAAACAAAAAATAACATCATAATGTGGTGGGCAAAGGGTTGATTTTTGATTTATTTAGACCTGATTCTAAATCTCAATTTTATTATTTACTTTTCAGTTGGGTTAGCTTAGAATAGCTACCCTGTGAGGTCAGTTTATTCAATTATAAACAATGATTACTGACATGCATTTCACTAGAATTTTGTGAATATCAAATATTATTCGTAAGATACCTTTCCCTCAATTATATTTTAAGGCAACTATAACTATGCTCCAAATTCAGTTTGGTACTCAGTTTTAGGAAAGTTTTACAAACACTGGAGTCATAATAGAAAGTATAAATTAAATGCAGTCCTTATATTTAGCATACACTTGTTGATTATTGTCTATGCTGTAGTCACTGGTGGGTATCATTCTCTCATATTCCATGAGTTTTTCTTCTGGAAACTAATCATTTACACCTAGTGCTATTTAGTTAAGTGTCCCATTAGTATGAGAACTTCTTTAGCTGAAAAATATATTTTTTGTTTTTGTATTCTGAAGACTAAACAGCATTGAACTTTCTGCTAAATACATATTTTGTGTGAATTAGTTCAAGGGCAAACAACATAGGAAATCAGTTAGAGAACTTGAAGTGATGAAGAAAATTACTTGAGTTCAGTTTCATGAGAAATTTTGTCCCCTGAGGATTGCAAATTTGGCTTTCATTATTTTATAAAATAGTTCACTACTAGTCATAGCAGGCAAATGGTTTAAATTTCAATGAAATATAAAATATGGAGTTGAGAAGTTGTAGTACTACCAATTAGTGTTTATCCTCATGAAAGTGCTCCCAACTGGGGTTTTAGTTTTAGTTGCTCCTTGAAACAGTTGGGGATTCTCCTGAGACAAAGTGTTGATGTCATCAAGTTGAATATAAATCCTATAGTACTGGCAAGAATTTGACCTTTGTGGTCACTAAGAAGACACTCATATTTTTGTAGGTAGGAGAGGAAATGTGTTCGCATGTTAGTTCTCAAAATCTAGCAATTTATGTATTCACTTATTTAAATTGCATAGTCTTTTAGATTTTGATGTGTTGAAATAGGTAGTTTCATGGGAAATTTGCACAGACAGTGCATTGTTAATGAGAGAAAATCTATAGGTGCTTACTCAGTTCTGTCTTTCTCTTTATGTTACCAGTGTTTTTGAATCATGCTGGTAGAATTTGGTACTTTGGATCTCCAGCAGATGTTTCACTAGTAGTAGTTTCAAATAATATTCTTTTGGTTTTCCAATTACTTAATGTCTGGGTGTCGACTGTCATCAATTTCCACAAGAAAAAGACAATTTTAAAATGTAGGTCCGTGTAGTTTGTTAATGGTTTAAAATGTTTTTGACTTCTCAGAAATGAAGTCTATGTTCAAATAGGCCTTTTATTGTAAGCATTAAATACATGGAGAAATTAGTTTCAGTATATGTAGCTATGAGGTTTAGACTAAAAGATCTCTAAGCCCTTTATTGTTCTCCTACGTATAAGATTCTGAATTATTTTCCAATATCCTTTTTCTGTCTAGGGCCATTTTTTTTTTCTCCACAGCCCATGTTTGTATTCCAAGGGAATTTTGTTTTCAGAGTACCTTTTTTTTCAATCCAGATACTTGAAATATAAGTCAGTCTGATTATGCTCAGAGAAATGAACTGGGTCTGAAAGACCTTAACACAATTAGTTAGTGAGAAGGATTCTCTGTTTTGGCAGGTTCTGCATGCAATCACTTGGCTCATCACCAGAGTTGCTAACTGTGTCTGAGTGTGTGCTGTATTTCATGATGTTTAGCAGCAGTCTGACAGATCTCCCATGGACTGTACCTTTATATTAATTGTCTCTGCCATAGTCTCACAATTGTAGAATTAAAATATGGTTGACAATGATGGTTTCCACTAAAATATGATGTGTGTCTATAGCCAGTGAGACCTGAGCAAAATTGCAGAGCTTTTTAGATATTAACTTAGTGCTATAATGTAGATCTTGAACTGGAGAAGTTGCTCCTGGGCAGAGAGTTAAAGAAAAAAAGCTCTTGGCTTCCCTCTGGCCAATTGAATCACAATACCTACACACTATCTTAGATTCTTGTTACAAACTTCTTCCTGTTTTAGTTCGGGCACTGATACCTTGGCTACCTGTTCTCCTCATTCTTCCATCTGGTACCTTTTTTAGAATGTCTGGTGTGTCCTTATCATGTATATTTCAAAAGAAAGAGCCAGTTTTATGATCCTATTTTATTTCCTATTTTACGATCCTATTTTATTCATATTTGTTTTCTCTAGTAGCTTACAGTGCAATCATTGGTTTAGGATAAGAAGCAATAATAATAGATAAATTGAATTTTAACATTTTTAGCAACAGTTATAATATTTCTCCAAGCAGTCCACTCAGCTGACAGGAAGTGATGAACTCTCCTGGGAAGTAGCACAATAAAGAAGAAAAACACTAAACTAAGAACTATATCTGATTCCTTTGCTGGTGGTTCCATTTCTGATCTATGAGGTAGGGCAACAGTGTTAAATTTTCTGAACTTGAGTACTCAACCTTGTTGAACCTATTGCCTCTATCTTATCCACCATCTTACTTCCAGTATGCAGCGCCATGGCTGGAACTTGAAATATGCCCAATAATCACTTGTTATAAGCATTCAAACATAAATAACCAAGTGTCTTACAAGATTTTATAAAGTGACTTAAAGAATTTTATGAACTATACAATTTAATGTTAATAAGGTGGGTACAATTATTGAAAGACCTCATACTATTTAATAGCTAAGAAGATGAGATTTGCAATCAAAGATTCAAGAAACCATCTGTATTTCTGCACTGTGAAATGGTATTATGTAGTATCAAATCAAATAATACATGGAAAGTGCTTTCATATGGTGCATGGAATAGAAGAACTCAACAATTGCTATTATTGTTGTTGCTTTGTTATACCTTCAAACACAAGTGACCAGATCTATTAGTCTCACTTGCAGTCTTAGGGAAGGTAAAAAATGAAGTTCTACTCACTTTGACATTCTGAGTCTGTTCATGGGGTTTAAAAGTTTACCTAGCCTCTGACAAGTTGTCCGATAATGACATTTGCTAATGTCAAAATTGTCTGAAAGAAAATTATAGTTAGATACAAATTTCAAGTTATGCTTCAATTTAAATTTCAATTTTATGATATGAAAATTTGTAAGTTTGTACTGGGTGATATATATATATATATATATATATATATATATATATATATATATATATATATATATAAAATACACTAGTAAATCATCAATCTAGGAAACATGAGGTGAAGTTCTGATATCCATCATCTTGTCTTCTCAGAACTCATTGTTGTAGTGTTTCTCAGAATGAACTGTGTTATCTTCCAAGATAACCTGTGTTATCTTCCAAGTTCTTTGTAACCTTCTTTGTGTGTATAAGAAAGAATGCAGACAAAACTTCTAAGTATTCCTGAATTTATATCACAATATTTTCTTTGACAGATAAGGTATTTAGATTTTTAAATTTCCCAAAGTATTGAGATAGTTAAATTTGTAATTTTATCTTTAGCCTGCAACTTAACTGCACTGATTACAGATGTAACCTGAATAAATATCATTTGTTGCAACATTTTCCTTGGTTATGATATATAAGATATATCTCATTATGGGAATGCTACTGAGATCACATAAGCAAGGCCTTTTGGATCTTTTTACAATATGTAACCTCATACAATATTCAGTGGTTAAAAAATCCTTTTTTATCTCTCCTTAGATAATCCAACCAAAGCCTCTCATATGAGACAAAGAAATGTCCAGAAGAAACTACACTGAAGTGACAGAATTTATTCTCTTGGGCCTAACAAGTCGCCCAGAGTTGCAAGTTGCTTTCTTTGTGCTGTTCCTTGTGGTTTACATATTCACTGTGATAGGGAACGTGGGCATGATTGTTTTAATCAAAACTGATTCTCGACTTCACACTCCCATGTACTTCTTTCTCTCAAGTTTGTCTGTTCTAGATCTGTGTTTCTCCACAAATGTCACTCCCAAGATGCTGGAAAATTTCTTATCAGAGAAAAAGACCATCTCGTATGCAGGTTGCTTGGTGCAATGCTATATTGTCAGGCTGTGGTCCTCACAGAGCACTGCATGCTGGCTGTCATGGCCTATGACCGCTACATGGCCATCTGCCATCCACTGCTGTACAGTAGCAAGATGTCCAAGCATGTCTGTGTTCGCCTGGTCATTGTCCCTTATGTTTATGGTTTCCTCCTCAGTGTGATGGAGACCTTGAGGACCTACAACCTTTCTTTCTGTGGGGCTAATGAAATTAATCATTTTTCTACTGTGCTGATCCTCCTCTTATCAAACTGGCATGTTCTGACACCTACAGCAAAGAGTTATCAATGTACATAGTTGGTGGCTATAGCAATGTCCAGTCCCTCCTGATCATTCTCACATCCTACATGTTCATCCTTGTTGCCATTGTTAGAAGCCGTTCTGCAGAAGGAAGAAAGAAAGCTTTTTCCACATGTGGCTCCCACCTGACAGTGGTCACAATTTTTTATGGAACCCTCTCCTACATGTATTTGAGACCTCCCACCAAGGAGTCTGTGGAACAGGGAAAAATGGTGGCTGTGTTTTACACCACAGTGATCCCCATGCTGAACCCCATGATCTATGGCCTTAGGAACAAGGATGTGAAAGAGGCATTGAGAAAAGCAATAGGGAAACAAAAACTGAGAAAATAAAAATGCTCATCTGCCATTAAAAATATTTCTAGACACAACAAGATATAATATTATAGAGTCAAACATCTGTTTTGAAGCTAGCTTTATACAATTCTAACTTTGTGTTAGGTAGCGACAAGGTTAAAATTCCTGAAAGAAGTGGCTGAAAATGGGAAGAAAAAGAAGTAACATTGAGGCAGTTCATTCACATTCCTGTATCGCCTAGTGTGGTTTCTTACAAAAAAATAGTGGCTTAAACAAGTCTAGATATTTACTTTGTTTTGTTTTATGGTCAGGTCAAAGAAGTCTGGAGGTTATCAGTCTCCAACTTGTATGTCAGCTTTATCAGGTTTGGTCTCTGAATCTGTTCCAGCTTGTTTTACTCTAAGCATGCCTTACATTTTTAAGGTCACCTTAAGATGTAAAGTGGCTGCTCAGAAGCCAGCCCACACGTGCAAATGATCTTCAATGTTCTACAGTAAATGTACTATACAACATGTTTTCTCATGTCTCTCCAGCCAAACTTAACTATATCCTCAAACCTCCCTGTGAGAGAGTTTAGGAAATGTTTATTGCAGGCTACTGGATTGGGCTAAAAGACAAGGGTTCTGGCATCACCTCATTAGCAAATAGCCATCTGCACTCCATTTTTTAAAAATATCTCATTTTCACTACTTACTCATTTAGGTAATAACTGCTTAACCCACTTGCAATGATTCCCAAGGTTTGAAATAAATGACCTTTTATTTCACAAGTGTTGTGAGGATCTTAGGTACCTGACAAGGTCTCCACAAACATTCCTAATGTCCTTGAGTGAAATCTCTCTTAACATATTTTGCCACATAAACATTTTTATTCTAGAGTCTCAATATTATAAATCAGTGGGCTGTTACTTGCAGCATCATAAAAATGCTTTTAAATGTGTTTCAAATGCATTTGGCTCTTTTAGAAATCAAGATGTCATAAAAGATTTTGTTTCCTTAATGCAGGTTGATGGCACACAATATCTAATTTCTAAACTTCCTAATTTTTTATGTGCTCAGGGACATTTTTAAAAACCACAAACAAGCCTTTATTAACAGCTATTTAACTGAAGTTATTTTTATGAATCATAATGTTTGTTTTACTTGTGCTTAGATGTCCATATGGGCAGCATGGCTGACTCACAGGCAAATAAGAGACTTAGTCCTCTTCCTACCTTCCACTCCTTTATTCTCACCATCCCAGCACATGTGGTTCTAATATGCCTTCAGCCAAATTACAATATACTTTAATGCTTTGAGATTGCCCAAGAATGATCAAAATTGCTAATACTTGATCATTGAAGAACAAGGGTATGCTATGCTATAATTTGCTTACTTAATTTCTCTGTCATTTTCCATTATCCCTCAAAATGTCTTAGCAACAAAGGAAAGGATGCAATTATCATCGGTGTCAGAGGAGAGGACTTGTGGTCTTCATGGACAATTGTCATGACAAGATTTTCATACTGTGTGAAACTATCTAGTGTCAATGAATTCAAACTCAAGATTCAAGAAGCAGCTAGAATTAGATGACTTGCTGGTCTGAGAAGCCCATTCTCTGAACCTCTAAATACAGAATTCACAAACATAGCTCTTTGGGCTCACAAGCTGAATTACTGTGGGGTGAGAGAAATAACACTGTCTCCTGTCACATGTCTGTTTTACAAGATGAATAAATGTAGTCTGGAGCAAGATAAGAATTCGGGCTATCAGACCCCCATACATACCTACTTTTGGGTAGTCACACCCCACCCAGGGAAGCTGGCACTGCCTTTACCCACCAATCATATGTAACTCCCTCATCCCATCCCACTAACTATATAAGTTCTCAGGATAAAGGACCTGATGCTTTTTGCCACCCCTGCCTTTACCTATGCCCTTTGCCTATGCCTTTTACTCCCACCTTGGCAAGGCCTGGTCTCCTCCATGGAAACATATCTCTAACAAACTTTGCTTGCATACTAGTAGACTTGCTTATCTGTAATTCTTTCCTGTGTGGACAAGAACAATTGAGTTTTTCCTGCAACAATACTTAATATCTTATGACATTCACTTAAGATCCTATTTATGCCGTACCTTATAAGGACTATCAGAAGGTGATAACAATCTTGTTGGTGTTTTGGCATTCAGAGTGTATTTTTATAAATATATTTAAACAAGTTATTTTTAGGAAATTTGGGGAAAAGCAGAGATATATTTACTTTTTTTTCCCATTCAAGTGTATAAAGATTATGATGTAACATACATTAACATCAATCATATAGTGAAAATGAGAGTCTTTTTGGGTCAGAAATTGAGACTTTTACTTTTCCTGCTAATAGTTGCTGTGTAATAGAATGAGGTAATTAGCAGTGCAATTCTGGAATCATGTTCTGGAGTCAGGAATCTATTCCTTGATTTATTGAAAGTGTGACCTTGAGTAAAGCACCGGGACACTCTAAGACTTGGATTTTTTGCCTGTAAAAGAGAGAATAATATGAATATATCTTAGGAGATATTTGTGAGAATTAAATTAAATTGTTTGAAATGTGTTAACTTTAATAAGTGCATTATTGTTGCTATGATTAAGTTTCTAGTTTCCTTGTTTTTAAACTAAGTTAAAGCAAACGTATTTTTCCTCCTTTGATGAATTACAAATTTAATTATAAGGAATAATACTTGTTTCCTCTTTCTGTGGAAAAGCCAAGTGACACAGACTGAAGTACAGAACAAAAGATACCCTTAAGCAGACTGAGTAACACTATCACCAATTTCATTGTGATGCAAACCTAAAGCAAATTCCGTAATTGATCCCAGGACACATCCAAAGAACTTGAGTTTGGGGGGGCAATAAAATTGTGCAAATCTGTCAATTGGGACTACTGTAATAGCATAAACAATAGAAATATTTAAAAATAATACATAATTAATTATTTAAAAAATGACTCCTAATGTTGGCCTTCCTCCTTACACTGTCTTCCCTCACTGTCAAAAAAAGCAATTCTACATTCTCCTCTTCCTCCAGAGATGTACTTCCCCCAGGGTCATTTCTAGAGGAAGCTTCTTAATTACTTCTTTTCTCCTAAGGCAAAGATTTCAGGGAAATGTCTCTTATGATCCTCCAGTTCTCTTCTGCCTGGTATATATAAGCTGTTTTCCATTCTCTTTTTTACTCTGCATCCTTACTGGGGGCATTTTTACACATACTCAGGTTGATATACAAATGCATTTGTCTAGAACTGTCAGATGAAGGTTGCATCTTGGATTTTATGTTATTTTGTATTAATTAACATTAATTATTCCTTAAATGTTATCTGTGTGTAGGTGTGCTGTTTATATATGTGAAAGACAAGAGAAGTGATTGCAAGAAAGAAAGTTAGAGTTTTTTTATGGAGATTTGATGATTTGATTATTACAAACTATTAATGGAAGCTACAATTTTCAGGAGTTCATTTAGTAATAATTATTTCTTGTGTATTATTGTGGTAATGTGTAATGTTTCTTTTCATGCTCATAAACACAGATGAAATGATTACTATTATTGCTGTTACATCACATTAAGGCATAGAAAATCTAAAAAAAACAAACAAAAAATAAATCTTCCCCAAGTTCATAAAATATCATGGACTAAGCATTTAACCAAGATGATAGAATCAGAAGTCTTCAATTGGAATATTGAATATTTTTTTTATTCCTGGTCTTGGGGAAAACATCTACCTTTATTGGTAACTTAATTTGAAATACAGAATTTTACACTATAAAAATTTTGAATGTATGTTTTTGCTTTTAGATGGTGAAGAAAAGTGCTTCTAAGATTCCCCAAATTCAACAGACCACATACCCTCTAAGATCAGACCTAACCCTTCTTCCACTTTCCCCACCAGTTCACCATTGCTGTTAGTTGGCTAACTACCACTCAGTTTTTCTTGTATTTCACTTTTGTAAAATAGCAACACTGCCATCTTTTATAGACATTTTTTGTGTGTGTGTGCCGAGTCATCTGTGGTACTGTACAATCACATATGACTTTCTAAATAAAAATTTCTCTCTCACAGAGCTTTGCAAAATGCAGAAGGTTGAGTAGCACAGGCAGCCACAGGAATAGTCTGTTGATCAGATGTGAGTATGATCTGTTGACATAGTGGCCATTTCTTTTTGAGCTACAGAATCTGTACTCACCCCTGTATTTTCTCTATCATCTATGATGGTGTCTAAAACATTTTTCATGTCTCTGTCAAACTTTAAAAATCCAATTTCTTTTTAAAAATTTTTGTTTTAATTGTTGTTGCAGTATAATTTTCTATCTTTTACTCCCATCCCAGCCCACCCACCCAGCCCTCCCCTCCTACCTTCCATTTCCACCCACCCCTAGTTTTTTATCCATGTGTCCTGTATACTTGTTTCTGTAAAACCTTCCCCTTTTCCCTGAAATTCCCCCGAATTTCTTCTTCTTTAGAAAACATGTTTCTTTTCAAAAGTTAATGCTTTTATAAAGTGCCATGGTTTGGGTAGTTTGCAAATATATCTGTGATCTCTTTTTCCTGCTCACGGGATGCCTTTGGATGGCACACATTCAAAAGCAGTTCACAGTGACCTTTCAATCATTCCAGACAAACACTCAAACACAATTCCTCTTCCTCTAGGAGCTTTGAGAAGCATCTCCAAAACTGAAAACACAACACACTTCAGAGCATATATACAACAAGGAGGGAAAATATTTTATCGAGTTGCTTTCCGGCAGAGTATGAATTTCTTTTTCTTTTTCTTGAATGCAGGGTAGGGTAAAAGTAGATTTACTGTAGTTTGTACGTGAAACACAGAGTTTATTCTTGCATTACTATTGATTAATGATTGTATTATTTCCCCTGTGAACAACTGTAAACCTCCTCTTTTGCCCCACCCTGTAAATGAGAACAATTTTTAGCTTTAGACAAAGCAAAGCAACCAGTTTATGATTTTAGTGGACTTCAATATTTAAAAATTAGTTTAAAATTAAGCTTATGTTTATGTCAGAAAGGGTCCACAAAAATTGTAAAGAGAAAAGATTGTCAGGAAGACCTGAGCCATCACAGGTCACTGACCCCTGCAGAGTGAGTGGCAGTGTGCACAGCTCACCTCACACTGAGGGAGCACAGCCCCACCGTGCACTGTGTTCACTTAGCTGCTAGTCACAATGCAACTGAGTCACATGTATAAGTCACATGTATATCTTTGTTTGCCTTGGGTTATCATTTTTTACCTTAATGAAAGCTGTATAAGTGCTACACACAATTACTGTGAATAAATCAGGAATTTTCTAATTAAAAATTGTTCACATTACTAATGTCCACTCTGATCTGATGCCATCCTTTACTTCTTAACAACTCTCAAATATATTTCTTTAAGGTGGTAGGTAGTTTACCTTTTGTGACATGAATGATAAATTGGTAGATAAATAATTTTGGCCAATTTATTAATACACAACCTATTGAGTAGTAAGCTGAGCAATACCAAAGTGCTATTGAGTTAGACTCTAAAATAATTTAAAGGAAACTCTCCTTTATGCACAGGAGATTGAGAGCCACTTTAATTTAGTGCGATCACATGTACTTTCTAAGCTTCAGTTTATCTCTGCATGTCTGTGTATGCTTAAGTCCAAAAGGTCCTTACAAAATAAACATTGAAAATCTCTTGATACATTTAAATAGAGTGACTGGGTGTCTATGTATCCTTTTTAACCTGCAGGACCATGGGACACAGTTAAAAAACTTGAAGACCAATAAAAACAAAGCATTCCTCACATCTCCAATACAACAAGACAGGTTGTCTGCTTTGTCAATCAACAAGCCTCTCTAGACATGGACAAAGAAAAAGACTGAAGATAAAGTGGAACTCTGCAGTGAATTGCCAAATGGTAAATATACAAGAAACAATATAATTAGGGAATCTCCACCTGACTACCATCACAGTAATGACAGATTTACCTAAGAACATCACTGCCTGTTACCTAGTGGCTGAAAGTCTGAGGAGCAACATGGTATTCCCAGAGCACAGTCTCTTCCCCACCCCCACCTAAAAAATACACAGTAACGCTTAATTCTTGTTAAGTAATAAGTAGAAAATACTTGTTAATTACAAGTATGGTGCTGAGACCTGGCAGATTTCACAGCCAAATGAGAATGACATAAATACGTTATGTCTCCCTTGATGCGATAGAGGAAACACATCATCATTACTGGGGCAATTATGCCCAAAATACATGAATGATATTAATTCTTAATGACATAATAACAAATCAAAACAAAACCATTTTCAACAAAATCTCAGCTGGAAGCTTTTGGGAAATGTTGGTGTTGGGAAACAAAAACAGACTCAGATCCAGACACCTGGCACCTAAAGGCAGGACACCCTTCTGGACTGATCCTGGGACAGTGAAGGAAAAGAAAGAAGGGCATTTCTTTTCTCTCTCTCTGTCTCTCTCCCCCCCTCCTTTTTTCCCCGAAATTTGCCTAAGGACTAATTTTTTAGCCCTTAGTTAATGCCTCAACTTTTATTTAATTAGCCTGAGACTCTTTAATTATACAGTCTTGATCTGATCTGCTTTGATTGTTAGCATTCTCCTTTCTCCAGAGAAAACTTTCCTTTCCAAATGAGTTGAATGGGAGGTAGTGCATCACCTTTGTGGATGCGTCTGTTTATTTTCACTATGGCAGTGAGGTTTATCTTATTGCCTGTTTTTATTTTTCCTTGTCACTACGCAGAGATAAACCATGGATAGATCCCATCAGATTGTAATTGAACAAAGTGTAATTCTGGAGGTTAAAACAAGAGTTTTTGGAATGATATTTTGTCTTAGAAATGATATTGAACCTTGAAGGGCACAACACCATTCCATTATACCTTCATTGTGCCATTGAAAAGCTGTCTCAAGATTTTTATGGGATAGAATTACAGTGTGTGTTCCATGTTCACTGAGGCTGATGGGATCTCTCTCTCCTCTCTTCCTGAGAAAAGTCAGTGCAAAGCTAAACTAAATTTAATAGATTTTTTGAGATAAAAGTTCTCATAGTGTAATTTTACTAGGTAGATTGTGTGTTTCTAAATGATTGGATAGGATATAAAGATTTCTCACTATTATTTGATGAATGGACACTTGTGGATTTTTCTTTATAATCCCTAATAACATTATAAGAGAAACTAGTGTTTTCTTAGGAAAATAATTTGTAAAATATTGTTCTGGAGAAAGGTGCATGTGATACAACCTAGTATTGGAAAATAAGTTTGCAAAACATCCAGGAAGCTTTCTTATAACTCCACTGGATCTCAAAGAAGAGTCAAGCATTGCTTCCTTTCTTCCCTTGGGATATTTCTGTAAGAGTGTATCATGGTTTCAGAACATTTACTTACATTAATACCACTATAAGTAGTAACACTAATCTCCTTGTTTTACTTATTTTTCAATCTCCAGGACACTACAGTAGATGCTACCTAGTAGACTATAATTACATGTGATATGCAAAAGAGTCAGTACACAGGGAATATGTATAATGTATGAATACATATGTACATGAATAAGTGGTTCACCCTTTTAACTTGGTTTTGATGATGACTGTGATTAGTTTCTGTCACTTCAGTTTAACTGAGTTAGAAGTATGTGATTAGATTAAAAATATTATTTTATCTGGCATTTGGAGCTGATGGGTTATTTGATTAATTGGCTTTCTCATGAAGAATATATTTATAATAGCAAAAAAATGGTATAAAAATTTATTTTTGACTTATGATGAAAAGAGAAGTATAACTCTCTATCAATATCTAAAAAATGTGAAACTACCAAAACATGCCAGCATTGGAAAGGAGAGATGTCTAAAAGGTAGTCTTGGAATCTGGCTAATCACAATATTTAATATTAGCATGTTTTAATCACAATACTTAGTGTAAATGCTATATAGTAGAGCCCATGTATTTATTCACCTTAGTGACCACCAGAGATCTGCTGAAAATAATGCAAAAAGCAGTCATAGGCATGTACAAGGAAAACAATGAAAGTGGGCCTTGATAAAAGTATAAATTAATAAATAATTAAAATTTGATTTTCAAATTTATTTCCTTTTTGTGATCACAGAGATTTGTAACTAACATTGGGAAAATGGTCATAAATGATTAACACTTGGTTTTCAAATTTATTTCCTTTTTGTTATCCCAGAGATTTGTGACTAACATTGAGAAAATGCTCAACTTCACTGATGTGACAGAGTTTATTCTTTTGGGACTGACCAGTCATCAGGAATGGCAAATTCTCTTCTTCGTCATTTTTCTTGTGGTCTACATTATCACCTTAGTGGGCAATATTGGCCTGATTTTGTTAATTAAGGTCAGTCCACAGCTCAGTAGCCCCATGTACTTTTTTCTCAGTCATTTGTCATTTGTGGATGTGTGGTTTTCATCCAATGTTACTCCTAAAATGTTGGAAAACTTGTTATCAGAGACAAAAACTATTTCTTACAATGGCTGTTTGGTACAGTGTTTCTTCTTCATCGCCCTTGTCCATGTAGAATTTTTTATCCTTGCTGTGATGGCCTTTGATAGATACATGGCAATCGGGAAGCCTCTGCTCTATGGCAGCAGAATGTCCAGGGTTGTCTGTGTTCGACTGATCTCTTTCCCTTACATATATGGTTTTCTGACTAGTCTGGCAGCAACATTATGGACTTATGGTTTATACTTCTGTGGGAAAATTGAGATCAACCACTTCTACTGTGCAGACCCACCTCTCATCAAAATGGCCTGTGCTGGGACCTTTGTCAAAGAATTCACCATGATCATACTTGGAGGCATTAACCTCTCATACTCTCTGACTGTAGTTGTCACTTCTTATCTGTTCATTCTCATCGCCATTCTACGGATGCACTCAGCAGAAGGGAGGCGGAAGGCCTTTTCCACCTGTGCATCCCACTTGACAGCTGTCACCATATTTTATGGGACTCTCATCTTCATGTACCTCAGACGCCCCACAGAGGAGTCTGTGGAGCAGGGGAAAATGGTGGCTGTGTTTTACACGACAGTGATCCCCATGCTGAACCCCATGATCTACAGTCTGAGGAACAAGGATGTGAAAGGGGCCGTGAACAAAGTGATGAGCAGAATATGTGCAACAAATTAAAATAAAATTGAGTGAATTTTGTCTTCTATGTTATATTTGTCAGCAGATTGTGGCTTAGTACACAGCTAAAGACCTTTTACAGAAGCTAGAGACTGTACATTGAAAAGAAAAAAAAGAAAGACTCACATTACAAGAAAAATAGTAGATCGACCCATTTCTGTTGATGTAAGAAGTGAGGATAACTAAAACTTCATAAATTAACTAATGAAAGGTTATTTGAGTCAAAGTTCACTAGCACACTAATAGAAATTGTTCAAATTCTTAGCTAGAATGAACAGGTTTTTATCTTATTAAAAAATGCCTTAGATGAATTTGGGAAATATCAATGTGCTTATTGAGAGAGTAAACTGGGGCAGAAAAAAATAGTATGTTTTATTTAATTTTTTAGAATGAGAACATACAATATTCCTTGTAAAGGCTGTGAGATTCTGTGATGTTTATTGTTTTTCTGAATATGAAGTGCAGGTGTGTTTAATGACAACTACTTTGAAAATAAGAATCTTATGGTATTTAATTCCTATTCAACTTTTTGGGTTTTAAGAGATACAACATGATGTCTCTCTTTTACAGATTCTAATGACTTCCATAATTCATCCCCAAAGTTGCCAACCACACTGTGCACGTGTCGTGTGCCCCTACCAAGGGTGTCCTGTCTGAATGAAGTGTGGGTGTGACTGTTGGATGGATGGGCCATTTTGAAAGCACTGCTCTCCAGATTCCACTTAACACATTAAAATGATGTGCACATGGAATATTATGCACATCTGTGTCAATACAGTACTTAAATATTTTGAAATAACTTTTGTCTTTGAAAGAAATAAAACATTTAGGATGTTCTCTTTCTTATTACTGATAACCTGTCCTGCCAGGATAATGTTAACATGATTGGGATCTCTGTTTTGCCTCATTTTGTGAAGTACCAGCACGAAGCAGCAACTTGACAACTAGAACTTACTTAAAGGCTCTTTGTCCTCAGTAGCTGCACAAATAACCTGATGTTTTGATGCAGACATGGGTAGCTACAGAAATGTAGTTCACAGATTTAGACTACACATTTAAGTAACTACAAATTTATCTGCATGGATAAAAATATAAAATTATATGGTTGTAATATGAGGAAAAACATTTTTCATTTTTTCTGTTCTTATTTTCCCCAAGGAAAACCCAAAATGCATATGAACTCATTTCCACATACACACATATATATCATGGGCAACTCCTCAAAGCTATTCACATATAAACAAACCATTATTTTAGATTAAATTGCAGTGTTGCTGTGTCTCTGGTTACAAACCATAAACTCCATAAAGAATTTAAGATCTAACTTCTGTAATATTACTTTTGGAATGTGTTACAAGTAATTTGTTTTGAAATTAAAAGCATTTATTGTAGAACTCTTGATAAGCTGTGTTATAATATACTTAAAAATATAATATGAAAGCATTTTTGATGCGATTCACCAGCTGGCAGTGACTGCGGGACGCTGTGCATGGCTCATCAACACGCAAGAAAAACATACAGAGACAACCAAGTCCTGTGGGGAAGTAGGAATGAAATGGCCACTCTCTCTGGTGGGGAGAGAGTGCGCTGTGCCCCGTTCCCCCTCCGGAGAGGCTTTTAATTTGGTTTTCCTTTGCATAGGAGTTTAGGTAAAGCTCATGAAACATTGCCGGGAAGTAAGGATCAAACAATAGATAACAAGGAAGTCTGAGGGCCTATTTTGAGTCAGGATCAAAGAGCTGTAAAACTTTGAGGAACAAACTTACTTTTTCCTTGAACCCTTATCATTCTACTGAGCATTGTAAACAAAGCAGGTTTCACAGAATTTTATATATTCTTTCTTAGGCCTGATCATCCTGGGGAATCTGCCCTTTTCAGCATAGAGCTGCACCACCCTAGTCATTGTTTCAGGCTTAGGTGGAGCAAGGGAAGTAAGGCAACCAAGAGATAAGGAGATTTTCACCCAGACAATGAGGACTCAGGCTACGTCAAAGCCGAGGGGTGAGGGTCCATCACCCCCTTTTGCTGTAGCCCACAAAGTCCTTTCTTGGGGGCCTCCCACGTGATCATGCCTGTCCTAGATTGTTCCCCCCTTTGGGGAATCTTATACATCATTGGCTAACTGACCAAGCATTGGGGTTCAGTTATGAATGAAGCAGCAGAAGCAGCGTTCCTGCCAGGGAGATAAGCTTTTGTCTCCTTGCTGGTTTAGGGTCGAAGGCCACTCCCTCAGCCTTAGCCTTGGCGGGGGTTACAGCTTCTGATACCATGCAGGGCGGTCCCCAACACATTTTAATATTCATAATCTGTTAGCAGGTAAATTTGGATAACCTTTGTTGCTTCTGTTTTTCAAAGGCTAAATGTTTTCCCAACTGAATTTTTGAGAGAATTACTTTAATGTTACATGAAGAATGATGGCACCCAAGATCAATGTTAAATCATGTTCTAAATTTTAAATTAATTTGTGTGTGGTGGACAGTGTCGGGGGTGGGGACAGCATGAAAGAAGGTGAAGGGATGAGCCAAAGAACCTATCCTCACACACAGACACAGTGTGGTGATTGCCTGAGGGAAGGGGGTGGCAGAGGCTGCATGGAAGGGGCAAAGGGGAGGAAAATGGGGACATCTGTAGTAGTGTCAACAAGAAAAATCAAGTTTAAAAAAAGAGGAGAAAGCTAAAATCATTAGATCACTGAAAATTTAAAAAGTTAATTTGTGAGTGACTTTGGAGTATTCAATTTCTGTTATTCATCTAGTTAATTTTCAGGTTGCAGGCTATTATGTCCAATATCTTCTGGTTCATAATTCCCACGAGCTGACAGAACTTAAAAAGAAATTTTGACATTAGCTGAAAATTCAGGATATTTCTGTAAAACATGTTTTAAAATAGATTTTATTGTTACAGTAATTCCTACATTTATCATCTTTGTTATCTTTCAACATCTCCCCTTGTCACTCTTTCATGCTCTTTCTGTCTCTAACACACACACACACACACACACACACACACACACACACACACACACTTTCTTCTTTTCAAAGCTACATTTTCTTGAAAGGGTACATAATATATCATAATAACCTGGTGCGAAAAAGTTCATTGGATGCATTTTCTCCATAGTGAATTAGGAGGAACTCAGGAATTCTGGGTACTTGGGAACTGAAGAATTCAGGAGAAAACTGCTTGAGCACAACTATGTCTATAATTTTTCAGGTTACATTGAGATAGTATACAGTTTAGAGTTTATGAACAAGCCAAGGTTGCATTCTGGGTCTTCAGCTTGCTAACTATGTAAACCTGGTAGAAACACTTAATTTCATAGTTACTTCCCATATGCATATTTTCATTCTTCAACATATGGATAATATTAGTCACAACAATAGAGATGGTGGGATCATACTTATAAAGTGTTTAGAGGTGAAATTGCATAATTTCAGTTTTTTGAGTGTGTCATGTGAAACAGGCATTGTTGTGAAAGTTATCCTTATGTCATCTGAGATCATTAAGTCACACTGCAACATAGTAGTTTCCCCACTCTTCAGGTAAGTATCGAGCTTGGGAATTGTTACTTTTTCACAGTTACGTAGTTATAGTGGTAGAACTATGGTTTGATTCCTGATATGTCTGACCAAAGTTGATGCTTTACTGACTCCCCGAAAAGCTTAAAGTGCACAAGCCAAAATGCTCTGCAATTGACTACTTCATGAATACTTTTAACTGTATACTTTCTCCCTAAATGTTTCCAAGTGATCTATACTTTTGATGCTTCGGGCACCTGTAAACAAACAAAAAAAGTAAGCACAGGGCATGGGTTGCTATGATCATGCATCCTGACACGTGATGTTTATTAGAACTGTAATACAACAGAAAAGAAAGTGACTGCCTAAAGTTTTGCATGATGCAAGCCGAGAATACTTTTCTGACATGCATAAGCACCAAGTGTGAATGAAAGAGGACAGAACAAATATGAAAGTGAGAGATTGTACCATGGTATCAAGAATTTTTATTTCTTAATTTTATTAAAAGAATTGTTTTTCCAATTAACACCCCTTAGCTTCTCCTACCCCTGAGATGTTTCTAGAATTGTAATCATTATTCCTTTCATAATTACCTGGATTGTTCCTTGGGGGGAGATGCTATTAATGTTCCAGATTCCATTATATATTGTAAGAAATTATCATCTGCTTGTCCTCTCTGCTGAAGGTAGGTCCTTAAATTGTATTCTGTGCAATACAGATGAATGCAAGTCTAATTTTTATCCCTGTTTTGAAGAGAAGACTGAAACCTTATTGTTATTACAGTGTTTAAATTTGTGAAATTATATTACTGGTAAATATTTTTATTTCTATTCAGAGTTTATTCAAAACTTCCTAAGAATGATCTTGCTACAATAAGTATGTACAAAATTTTTACTCCTCATTTTTTACTCATCTATTATTCTTTACCAGTTCCATTAATTTGCACATCATTGTTTTAAAAATACATTAATGAAGTTTGAGGATATTGTGTCAGTAAGTATGATTGCACAAGTAATTTTTCTTCATGAAAAATTCCAGAAAGGTTAATAAAAGTGAACTTGGTTTTTTATTTATAAATTTCACATTCTGTATTTTTAATTGTTTTCATAGATGATGCACACTTGTGCAATAAACTAGCTCTATCTCAGAAGTGCCTTGCTTATCTGATCCTGGGTCTCTGGGATTACCTAACTAAGGAAAGATAGGGAGAAGCAGAGGTCCACTATCTTTGTAGTTCAGCCCGTTCTAGGGTCAAACTAAGCTCTTTCCATCAAGGGTTTCATATTAAAAGGATAGATTTATTCAGTCTTGGAGGATAATCAAACTGAATTTTGAATGTGTAAAAATAGAATAATAGGTTATCAGAGAGGTAGCAATATAAGGTTATTAGGGGGTACCACCCTGGAGTTAAAGTAATTGGCTTGTACCTCAGTCTGGTCAATTGGTAGATGTCTGACCCATGGAGACTTTCCTGGCTTTCAG